TTTTTTCTTTTTTCGTCTTTGCACCAGGCGACCTTCTACCACAGAGGAAATCCTCACAATTGAAATTAAGCCCGGGTGGAAAAAGGGGACGAAAATAACTTTCCCCGAGAAGGGGAACGAGCAAAGAGGTGTCATACCCTCGGACCTTGTTTTCATCATCGACGAGAAGCCACACAGCGTGTTCAAAAGGGACGGTAATGATTTAATTGTCACCCAAAAGATCTCGTTGGTCGAGGCCCTAACCGGCTACACTGCACCAGTAACCACCCTTGATGGCCGAAATCTGACGATACCTGTAAACACCATTGTTAGTCCCAGCTATGAAGAAGTTGTTAAAGGCGAGGGCATGCCGATTCCAAAGGAACCAGGCAAAAGGGGGAATTTACGAATCAAGTTCAACATCAAGTTCCCCAGCAGGCTCACCTCGGAGCAGAAAACGGGCATTAAACGGTTATTGACACCTTCATGAATCCTTGAGTATGGTTAGTATAGATCTTGTAAGCTAGTTTGAGCTCTTTGTCCTGGCTTGTCTCATTTATTTCGGGGTTTGAAATTATGCTGAGGGTTTTCTTTGGAGGAGTTTGTTTTCAAGATATGTTTTTTTTTCCTCGTCTTTTGAATGTTAATCAATCGATCAAATTATTTCATTTATCGAATTTGATTTTATCTATCTGGTAAGATCGACGTTTGGGATTTTACGTCAAATTTCCATCTTTGCTACCGTTGTTTGCCACATATGTTATTTTCCTTGTATTTTGACTCGGAGCTTTTTCTATGCTAGCCTGTGACTGTTCAGTACTTGCAAGCTTTTTCAAGAAAACATACTTTGTTTAGAGATAACTGGTCAGAAGTGTACAAAGAACAGTTGAGTGAAAAAGGACATCTAATTTAAACACAGTTAAAGGATGAAAAATGAAGTAATGATTTGTAACTTGGTAATGTTTTGTGGACAATAACTTGTGTCAATTTATTTGGAAGTAGCTGGACTTGAATTTGGCAGTTGATGATAAGTATTTAAAAGGGCTTACCTTTTTATGAAGCATCTCTTAAAGCTTTTCTATCTCCAATGCTTAGTCCGTGATATATTGATATTGTTGAAGTTGGTAAAACTAATATGACAAAGTGTAAAAACCACTCAACAGCAAATAGAGTTGTTAATTGAATCGAGCTGTTTGTAAACACAGTAAATAGAGTTGTTATTGAATCGAGCTGAGTACTGTTCAACTGAAAATTCACCCGGACTTGTTCGTTTGCTTAAACTGGTCGAATTCAAACAGTTAATCGAACTAATTTATCAAACATACTAAGTATAGCTATTCGATAATAACTCTCTTATAAGTTTCAAATCAACAACTGAGTAAACATATTCACAAACAACTTGGTTAAAATTTTAGGTTTGTTCAACGAGTTTTCATGAGTCGAGCTGGAGCATGCCCTCTAACTCGTTCATTAATCGAGCACAAATACTCGGCTCGGCCCAAGTAACACTCAATTGAGCATACCCTCTAACTCGGTTATTAATCGAGCACAAATACTCGGCTCGACCCAAGTGACGCTCAATGCATGTCTCGATTTAGTTCATACCAATATCAATATTTTATCTTACTTTTTTATATTATCATTCATTCATGACACAATAAAAGAGAGCTTTCATGCAATTTTAGATATCAATTTGTAATTTACAATGGGACTTTTTTTTTTTTTTTTTTGGAGTAATTTTATCAATTGACTTGAGATTTTTTAAATATATATAACAAGTCCACAGTTCAACCATGATTAATAAGCTAAATAAAATATGAATTATGAAATATATTTACGATCACAAATCTTAGCTTTACGTGATGATTTAATAAAAAAAAAAGGTATAAACGTATTTGAAAAGTATGTGTATATATTGTCACAAAATGATCCATTAGTAAATTAAACGATAATTTAGTGTGGAAAATTTGCTAAAGACATTGTTTTAATTACTATTTATTTATTTTTTGGTACATGGATCTTCCGGTTTTCGGATCTACAGGGGAACCGACTAATTCGGAATCGAGCCGGGTAGGACAACAAGGGCGGCAAAGGTCTCCCTCAAGAGTTTTTAACATTGCTGCATTCCCAGCTCGAACACGAGACCACTGGTTAAGCTGAAAGAGACCAAACCATCTCATACAAGCGTTAATTACTATTTACTTTCAAATACTTTATGAGGTTATCATTTAATTACGCGAAACCAAAAGTCAAATACAAATACAAAAGTCTATTCAAAATAATGAGATTTTTTTAAAGGAAATTGGGCTAAGCAGTAAGCCCTCTCACAGAACAATAAAACGGCGCCGTTTACAGCCTCGCCCCTTACAACTGCATCTGTTATTTTTCTTTCTGTTTTGGTTCTCACGTTTACATGCACACACACACAGTCTCCTCTCACCGTCCTCCTCCCTCTCTGCAAATCCACAATTCACACAAAATTTTCCTCAATTACTTCATGTAAATTGCTTGTATTTACTCATCGCCTCTTAGATCTTGCAGTTTATATACAGAAAATGGCTGCAGTTTCTTCGAGCCCTCGAACTGTGGAGGAGATCTATAAAGATTACAGTGCTCGTCGTGCTGGGATCGTGCGTGCTTTGACTCACGGTACTCTTAACAGTTACTGTGAGATGCAACAAGCATGTCGATTTTGTGTTTTATTGATTTTTTATTTCGTGTAAACCAGTGACCTACCTTGCGTGATGATCTTTTTTTTTTTTTTTTTTTTTCAGACGTGGATGAATTTTACGGCCTCTGTGATCCGGGTAACTTGTTTTTAGCTAATATTTTTGATTTTTTTTATTGAATTTTAGAAATTTGTGCGCTCTGGATAGTATTGAAATTTCTGTGAATTTTGGTATTCTGACTTGGTTCTGATTGTGTTAATTGATGGTTGAAATTGGGATTTTGATGAATTCTCATGGTGTGCGTTGTGTAACGATTGGTTTTTTCTTTAATCTGAAGCTCTATTGTCTCCCTTGTTAGGCGGAAAGTAGGAATCGGTGAAATCTTGTTGTTTTAACACGGTGCCTTTTCATTTCCAGTAACTTAATGGCCTTCTTGTTTAGTTTTTTATGGCTGTTTCAGATTTCAAGCTTGTTTCTTGTATTTTGATTTTGGTTGTTCTGAAATTCAGCTTCCTGATTTTACGAGGAAGAAATTACGGAGGAAAAACGTTACCTTTCCTAATTTGCTGCTAATTCTTTTACATTGAAGCTCTTATATGAGCATTATTACTCTGTATGGTTATGATTAATTGGTTCTTAACATCTTTGTTGTGTTTTATTCTTATAGTTCCTCATATTTTGGTTTCTCAATTTTATTTGTCTAGAGAAAGAGAATCTTTGTTTGTACGGACATCCAAATGAAACTTGGGAAGTAAATCTTCCGGCGGAGGAAGTTCCACCGGAGCTCCCTGAGCCAGCACTTGGGATCAATTTTGCCAGGGATGGGATGAACAGAAGGGATTGGCTCTCACTAATTGCTGTCCATAGTGATTGTTGGTTGCTCTCCGTGGCTTTTTATCTTGGGGCAAGGTTGAACCGCAATGAAAGGTATACAATTATTTGTTACTTATAAGATATTTTCTTTTCGAGTGCATTGACAAGTTGTTTCTTCTCATTCATGTTTAAAATATTTCGTGGTTATTGTGCAACAGAAATGCATTAAGCTCGAACTTTTTATAATGTCCAACTTATAACTGATATGCATATTACTGAAGACTCATCCTGTATTGAAATTCACTTGTTTACCGAAGTTGCAAAACTCTTTTTGTGTTCGCAAATTCTATCAATGTTTTTAGTTGCGGGGCATGAATTTTCTCTTGCAGTTGTTTATTATCTGCGTTGGTGTGTTTCTTTTCTTTTGTTTTGTTTCTGTTTCTTTGTGTGTTTTGGCTAATGTAATTTGTTATTCACTATGTCATGTTTAGCCTAATTTTCAAAATGGATAGTTTACTGACAAGCATACAATATTTGGTCCGAGAAAGACATGTTCATCACTTTGATGTAAATTAGCAGCTAATCAATATGTTTCCATTTGGTAGCAACCATTTATGTAATGCTTTCTGATGTTGCAGTCTTGTTTAGTTATATATTAAACTTTAAATCCTGAAATGGTTGTTAACCATCTATTCATACATTTTATTTTACTTATATTATATCAATTTCTGTAGTTAACCATCTATTCATACATTTTCTTTGCTATGCGTAGTGCATGTTTGGTATTCAAGCAAGAAAATAAATAGAGAAGAGAAAGTGAGAATATGTATGCTTATAAGAAGAAACAATGTTTTATATAATTGTTAACGAGACGGCTTTGTGGCTCCTCATGTAATGTTGTTGAACATATTCCAGGAAGCGGCTTTTCAGCATGATGAATGAGCTGCCAACTGTGTTTGAAGTGGTAACAGAAAGAAAGCCTCTTAAAGACAAGCCAAACACTGATAACGGCAGCAAATCTCGTGGGGGCACAAAGGTTAGAATTTTTTGTTCGTCACATCTCTTTTCAATCCTTGAAGTCAAGCAATGATAATATATTGTCAACTTACAAAATAACCCCAACACTTTTTTATTTTTTTTTTTATTTTTTTATTTTTTTTTTGTCTTTTTATAAATCAAGATCCATCACACTTCTTCATATTCCTCATCTCATTCTAAAATAACTAATTGAGCTTATATTTGCAGAGGTCTAACGATGGCCAAGTCAAAAGCTACCCAAAGCCGGCCGAGGAAAGTTACGAAGAAGAAAACGAAGATGAACACAGTGAGACATTGTGTGGCAGCTGTGGTGGGAATTACAATGCGGACGAGTTCTGGATAGGCTGTGACATATGTGAGAGGTGGTATCATGGCAAGTGCGTGAAAATAACGCCAGCTAAAGCCGAGAGCATCAAACAGTATAAGTGCCCTTCTTGCACAAAACGAGGCAGGCAGTAGTAGTTGCTGAAGATCTTGATCGACTGATGATCAAAATTATCAGTGCCTGACAAAAAAATTAGTGTAGCAGTGTCTTTTTTTTTTTT